TGCTGTATGTGGGCCAGGAGTTAAAATGTGTTTACCAAATATGAGGTAATTTAGAGTTTATCTGATTTAGAGGCTGAGATGTGCAGGTCTTGATTACTTCATAAAAATTAGCTCCCATGTTGCTAAAAAAATAAATAAATAAATGTGTAATTCACCTTCTCCACACTTACGAGGACAAACCTGGTGCAAAAACACGCTGAAGGAACCTGGTAAAGGCTGTGCAGTAAGAGCAGTTTGGCTTTTTGATTGTACACAGACTTGATTTTGGTCACCAAATAAGGATTTCTTACCCCTTGCTTTTTCTGACCAGATGTCTCTTCCACGGCATCCTACTAACACGCCCACCATCCTCTGTGTAATGTAAACACAGCCACAGTTGAGACAAATCTCTTTCAGCTCAGCAAGTTGGAGTGTCAGTACAGACATTCATGGCACTGGGATGAAGCACAGCACCTACGTGGGCTAGAAAAACGTCTTAATCCAAACATGGATGCTGAATGCCCGTCTTAACCAACTGCCACACAGCCAGGGTTTATAAAGTAGTTCTAAAAAGTATTTTGAGTTTGATAGACAGGATGTTCAGATAGATTTTCTAACATTATTATACAGTATTGTGTGAAAGCCTTGAGGCACTCCTAATTTTTTAACATTTCTTTTCCTTTTTAAAGTGATCTCGAGCAATAGTTTTTAGGCTTACTGAAGGTATTTTTTCCTCTGGACAGTAGGTACTTTTTTACTCATTTTCAGTCCAGCCCTTGTACCTGAAAAATCCATGAAAAACATCAAAAATAACACCCTTTGATGGGGATAAAATAGCCTTTTTGCACTAACAAGGCAGTTCTCAGAGAGCTGTTAGCTAAAAACTTATATATCTCGGCATGCCATGCAGTGTGTCCTTGAGGAAGCTGGTATCTGGTACAGGGCCCGAGTGATGAACTGGACCATTAGTTGATCCATCTACTGTTGACCAAAAATGGCCTCAGTGGAAAGGTGGCCATCAGAAAGCCACTGTCAAAGAAGGGAAACAGGGAGAAAGGCTGAGGTATTCCAGATTACACAAGAACTGGACTGAAAGTCAGTGTCAACAGGTCTTAGTTTTCATTATATCACTGTAACCATTTTCCTTTTTCTTAGCAAAACGTGCAGAAACAAAGGGTGGCTCAAGACTTTTGCACAGTACTGTTTATACCATTGACTGTAGCAGTCAATGGTTTATACAAGCAGACTGTATTTGACTAGATTTAACAAAATAAAACCCTGATCAAGCTTTCCATACCAATACTTAATTGTTGTATAATTTGTTTGGCTATTTTCTAACACACAATAAACACATGCTTCAGGGTCAGAGGTATAATTTATGACCTTTCATGTGTGCATTTATATGAATCTCTCATGCACACACACACACACACACACACAGCATTCAGTGTCAAGTACATGCACCTGATTTAATCACTGCTGCTGTGTGTAATCGTTCCCGCCTCTGCACATCGGATATTTTTAATAAAGCAATATTGTACCTGCAGCCAGCTGAGTTCCATATAATTATCCGTCTGGCTTCAGGCTGCTTATGTTTTGTTTTCTCATCAGGATGTTGTCTCTACTCCAGCGGCTGATCTGTGAAGTCGCTGTGGGAGAACACGGCAGCGCCGTGTGCTGGATATTTAGTGAATTACATCAGGTTCTTCGTGCACTTCACACTGAAAGATGAAAGCACCGGTTAACTGAAATTACTTGCAATAGGTTTGGGTTTCTCCAAACAAAGACAAAAAGTATCACAAAGAGGGCAAATTCATACAGGAAGAGTGTGTCTATCGACGCCCACTCACCTCCCTGTGCACGGGTAACAGCATGATTTATTTGGTCGGATATTTTAAGTGTGCGGGTTCACATCGTCTGAATATTTCAGCGTGCCTTCTCATTTCCCAGGCTCTGTGCCAGTTCCTCCACTGCTGGCCAAGACGTAGCTAAATAAGGAAGATGACCTCTCTCCCTCTACTGTGTTTTCACTCGTTTTCTGAGATTACAACCTAACCAAGGGGCCAGCACACATCAAAATCTGGGTTATACACACATATGCCTGGGTAACAGCGATAACGTAAAGCAGGGACCACGCACACACATAAACCCACTCAGAGACACCCCGACCAGAGTAGCTCAAACATTTACTCTTTTCATTCGATATTTTATTACAACGTTCAGTTAAGAATGCATTTCGATTACAAAATTGAAACCCTCTGCTCAGCGATGCTTAATATGAAATATAAAGTAGAGATTTCTAGCTACAAACCATCTGCTAGAAACATCAGGCACCTTGTTTTTTTTCTCCCCCCCATTTTCACACCATATCATCATAACAGTATTCACACAGCAGATCACAGAGAACTTTCACAGTCACACAACAGTTAGGAGGATTTTTCACCCAAGGAGGCGTGGAGAGATTACCGACTTGCGGGAGCGAGCAAAGCCCACGAGCTGATCTTGTGCGTTATCAGGACGAGCGCTTCCCATCCAGGTAGTTTGTGAACATTCAGGTCCAGTGTTTGATGTGTGAGCTATGACCTGTTTCTTCTGGGAAACATTAATTTCTAAGCAGAGAGCAACATGGATCCATGTGGTTTGTTAGTTTCTGACTGAAAATAAGGAAAAAAAACCCCAATTCAGATTCAGGAAATCTGAATTATGTCTGACAGAATTTAAATTTTGAGCAACAATAATGCTAACTTGGCTAGTTAGTCCATATGAACACTGTTTAAAACCCAATAAGAGGACAGAACCTATTTAAATTTAGAGACTTTCATCCTCCTGTGAATTCAGCTTGACTTAATCTCATTCCCAAAACAATTTCCCTTAGAAGCTACAAGCTATAAACAACATCATTTAGTACTGTCTGGCTGCATTAATACACAAGAGTGTAATAATACACAAGATTCTGTATACTACATATACATATGCTAAAGTCACACATTCTTGTGTGTAAGTGCTGAGAAATATCACTTTGTCACCCC